CGGCTCGGGCGGCGAGAGAAACAGGCGCCGGCCCCCGCGCTCCTCCCGCGGCTCTCACCGGTGCCTGCGCCGCGGCCCAGCAACAGCCGCAGCCCGTCCACCGCCCGCTGCAGCCCCGCCGCTCCCTCCTCGCTCCAGCCCTCGGCGCTCATGGGCGCCGCCATCTTGGGAAGGTCCGGTGAGCCTGCGCCACGGCGACGCAGCCACCTTGGGCGGGGCCGAAGGAGGAGGGCGGAAGTTCCTACGGGCTGCCATTTTGAAGAGGTCGGAAGGGAAAAGGCGGGAGGGGCGGAGGGAAGCAGCCCTCTGGAGAAGGTCTGGCGGCCGGAGGAATTCTGGGAGTCCCAGGCCGCTAGACCCTCTGGCGCATGCGCAGTTCGGCGAATTCGCTTGAAATTAAGTCGCGTGTACGAGGCGCAGTGCAGGACGTCTTTTACAAAAAGGGCAAAATAGGCTTTGTTCATTAAATTATTAAAATATACCATTTCCATAAATCTGCACTATTCAAAATTGGCTGCAGGATCTTAAAGCAAACTCACTTTGCCGTGTGAGAAGAATTTCAGTAATAAATCCGTTCCACAACAGGACGTTTCCTAGGCTACAAAAAAGCTTTTAAGTCTTAAATTCACCTTTTGGCCCCGGTGCTCAGCAGAGGAATGGAGCGGAAGGGAAGCGCTTGGGAACAAACAGAACTCTGCAGCAGAAAGAAAATGCTTTGAGCGGAATAGAGCAATGGGCCCCCAAGATAAATGTGGGCATGGATCCTTGGGGTTTGAAATCCCTTTGCTGCCCCTGCCTTCCCTCGCTTGGAAAGCGGCTGGCTTCAGGCCGGCTTTTTAAGTCCTCAACGGCAGCACAGGGCTCCAGGCGAGCAGCCTTTATGTTCACTTCCAGCTGGGATTCTGTGATTTAGCCTCATACAAACAAGTGTCCCAAGGTGACCCCGTAAAGGCTTTTAGGTTTTTACACACATTTACACACCAATTGCAGTTAAGAGTCTGGAAGTACGCATGACTTTTTGAGATGGTTGGAATTCACAATACAAATTTGACACACAGCAAGTTGGGAAAGAAGATGCTCACCCTGGATTTATCTGGTTATTCATCCCCACAACTTTTGAAAATAAAACTGAACGTCGGTAGAACATTTAGGTCAGAAAAAGCATGCAATCTCAGGAGAAGGTCTAATAAATGTGACAGACATGCAAGAAAAGTACTTTTTTAAACAATAAAGTTTATTATCTTTTAAAAGCATCTGTGCAATAAAATAATTTTTAAAAATGTGCATCTCTGTAATCTTTCAACAATATATATCCAAAAAGGATAGCTTAACATACAGATCTAAAATTAGAAAGCCATTTTCCAGAGGTCCCCATCAATTGGGCCGTAATTATACCATCAGGGCTGGGGAGTGGGAAACACGCCACAGGACAGGAGGGGCACCTTGGCAGACGGAAGGGTTCTAATTAGAATGGATTACTTGGTAGACAAACACCGTCTTGTACAGCTGTAGTTTATAAGGCCCCGCACAGGAGGAGTGTGTGTGGCCT